GGTTCGTGGAAGAAAGAAAGAGCCAATTTTGAGAAATTTAAGCCAAACAAAGCAAATTATATCAGCTACTGTCAGCCTTCCTTATTTTTCGGGGGGAAAGAAAGTTTGCAAGGTGTCATTCTATGAAGTTCTCTCTGCAATCGTATGTGTTTCACCTTTAAGAAATCACATTTGACCTGTAAAATTGCACTTTTACCACGTGCAGAGTAAAGTGCCCTGAATTTAATTGTGCCTCAGAGTACAGGGAGGAAGAAATGTCACTTTTCAGGGCTTACCCAGCATTTATGAGCCAAATAGCACAGCTGCTAGAGATTATCACAGCTGTACTGTAAAACATCCCAGATTTACAAAGGGCAGGAGGTGTCAGGTTTTTACGTTTTCATCTTGCAGTTTGAGGTTAATTTGATTTAAAGTACTTTTTCCAACCTTTATTAAACCCTACTGGCCCAAAATGGTGGCGTTTGCATGGTTGCACAGTGGACTAAACCACCTTTTGTCTGCATTTTCAAAGTGCAGGGAGGAAAAATGTCACCTTCATAAGGTTTTGTGCCTGAAAGAGGAACAAACATAGATATTGACGTTAGGGCCGACTAAAAAAAAATGTAACTCAAGTCTTACCTGCCACAAGGGGTCTATTTACATGACAGTACAGTGAAATGCACTCCTGTATTTATGTTAAATATGAACAATATGACTTTTGTGGGTTTAGGCAGAAAAATCTAAGCCAAACAACACAGATCACAGCAGCTGTACTGCAAAACATCACTCATTTCAAGGAGCACAAGTCACTTTGTGAAGGTTTAATAAACCATATGGGACCGTGGAGCGCACCTCCTCCACCTGCATTTTCACAGGGCAGGGAGGGAAAATGTTAATTATTATTGAGGTTTGTAGCTATAAATCATGAAATAAATATTCGACACTGAAGTTTAGAATCTAAAGAATTTAAATAAGATTTTTAGATTTTATGTCACCGTTTACAGGTTACACCCGCGGCTGAGCAGTAAAATCTATCACCAATAATCAATCACAGAGAGGGTGACACGGGGAGGAGAGGGAGGACACGGATGCCCCCCCTCTCTGGTTCCGCAGTGGTCCACGCTCGCACGCGCACTCGCACGCGCCGCCGAAGCATTTCGCTGTCAGTGAGAGAAACGCCTTGTCATGCCGGCGCACGAGCCTGACAACCTTCAACATCTGCACCACAACCGCCCTTATCGATCGGCCGCTCGTCTCTAATCGATACTCACTTTGTAGAAGATGAGCTTCAAGGTGCCGTAGAAACCCATGGCTGCCCCCTCCGGTAGGTACGAGCCTCCCGGAGCCCCGAGGGGTGGAAAAAATATATATTACAAAGTTCAAATGAATGAATCCGGAAATAAAATTTGGGAAAATAAAAATAAAGAGGGATATCCGAGAATGGGCGTGACGTCACACATCCATGGGGCGCTAATCGATGAGTTTGAGAGGAGCCGCCGAGCTGCTGCTGCTGCTTCAGGATCCACTCACTGACTGACTCCCTCTCTGCGCTCCGGCTCTATGCGGCTCGACCTCCACGGGAACACGCAGGGACATGCCTCTCCGTGCCTCGTGAGAGGGAGGGTGGAGCCTCTG